AATATGTGGCATGTAAAGCACAAGGAAATTTTACTTGTTTTCTTTAGAAGTATTTTGCCAAATATTATAGAATTGTTCATTTAAAAATGAAAAAAAGGAATGATAGTTCTGCTTCTGAAAATCTGCTTAATACAATGCCAGCTGTAAGGTCACTAATTAAAGTTCTGTAACAAGAAAATGAAAGAGAATTCACAATTTCAAAGACATTTCTTAATGAATATATATATATATATATATATATATATATATATATAAAGCAAAACATAAAACTTTCTAATTATATTTGTGAGTATAATCTGTAGTGGTGACCTTCCCCAAGCAACACTATCAGTAGAATTTAATCCACTGGCCCTTAAAAAGGGGGGTTTACATACTTAATTACAAACCACAAAAAGCCAAGAGGGAGGGAATGGGTAGGAAAATCAGACATATTAAAATAAAATGTACACATGGGGAAAAAGGAATTAAATCTATAACTCCATAAACTGATAGGTAATTGGTGTAGAGAGAGCGAAATATAGTACTCTGCATTTTTATAAGGCTACAGATGTTATACTATTGGATTCCAGATCACAACATATAAGGTACAAGCAAAAATTCCAAGGATATTTTGATATGTTTGCCTACTTACCTCCCTCCAAACCTACAGATGTTGAAGTGAGATGTTAGAAGAAGATACAGCACATTCATAAGTGAAAAACATCCATTTTTGGAGCACTTATATGTCACAGTGGAATATGGTGTCAGCCAATCAGTTCTGCTGAAGATGCATTTTGTACTGAAAATAAGCCACTTTAGCATTTTAGTTTGGTTTAGCCATTTCTTTCCCACAATATATTGGCGAGAATACATTTCACACCCTTGGCCAACATAGCTATGCCAGCAGAAGTCTGTAGTACAGTCTTGGCTTAAGAATGCCATTGATATAAAAACATTTCAGGCCTCCTAATCCATGTTTTTGTTCTATGCAGACCATCACAGCAAAGCTGTTTCTTTGTGATTTCATTAGGAATGTTCCCACCATTGATTTCTGGAGCAAAGTTGCATTCCCTAAGCGTGCAAACAATATCCCTGTGATGGGACCTGCACCTCTCCATTCCACAGAGCTGGAGCCATTCGGGTACTCAACTGTTTGCAAACTCAACGATTGCAATGGATGATTTATGTGACTTGTGATTTTAAAGAAGCAAGAGGATCTACTCAGAAGTCGGCCCTCAGTTCTGAAAGATAAGTGCTCTTCAAGCTTGTAATACAGGAATACTATTTAAAAGGACTTTGATTTAATAAGAACTATTTTTAATGCTCTGTATTTACAGGTCAGTGTTCTCCTTTTTCCTCTCCATTGTTGTTTTTTTTTGGTAGTGATGATTACAATTAGTAGGCTTGAAATCACAATGTGTCATTACTTTTGAAATTCCGAACTCAGAAACTGCAGCTTGTGGCAGTTGCCAGAAAAATATTGAAGATAGCTTTAAGCTGACTTGCAAACAGTAGTAACAAGGAGCAACATGTCTGTAAATCTAGAATAGTAACCATGACCAAAATGTACTTTTTGCTTTTGCCATTGGGTCATTTTGTGGACAAACATAAGTGTTGTTCTGTCCCCTGCAAGTGAAATCAGTATACAACACTTGCTCTATGGCACGGCTCCCAGCTTTTTAAAGTCTCAAGACATTTTACCGTTTAAGATTCCATACTTGTGTGGATTCTAAGTTATAGATTTCCTCTATCATGAGTTTAAATGATCACTTTCCAGTAGATAGTGACATATTTATTTCCCTGAATATTACTCAAATTCGTTATGCTGTTTATTTTACTATAATTTTATATGAGCCAATTATTACTACCTGTTATTATTAATTGCTAATTAATAATCAATAGCAACTAAAACCTCCTATACTGCATCTTGAAAATCTTCAATAAAGTATATTAGCACAAAGACATTCCTGATTTCATACTATTCAAGTTTATAAAAATATTGAAAATCTGTGACACCCTGTGAGTGCCTTATCTAGTCTTTACTTAATGACACTGGTAACTTGTGGCTTTTCAGCTTTATCTTACAAATTATCATGCTAGTAAAAATATTTTGCAAAATTCTCATAGGAATTCTTCTAGATAGTCTCTACCTATGTGAATGTATTTACTCAGAGCATCAGAAAACAATCTGAAAAAAAATACTGTAGATTTTTAACCATCCCCTGCAGCTGGAATAGCACCCCACTGAGACTATAGCTCTTGGTATCTGCAAGAACAGCTGCAGTGCTGGAAAATTCATAAAACAGCAGAACATGGGATCAGGTAATACTTTCAGATCTTTGTGCACTATTGTGCTTTATCCCAGCCTCTTACAGATTTAAGCAGTTTTAAATGGCAGGGGGTTTAAGAACATGCTAGATATGTACCTTGCTTCCACCAGTTATCAAACTAAAAATCTGTTTCGTGTATTTTATAGCTTGTCAGGAAAAAATCCATGGGGCGGGGTTTTTTTCAGATCTCTCCACTCTGTATCAATCTTATTACTTGTGAAACACTCTTGGTTTGGTTTAGGTTTTAGTATTTTTGGTGTAAATTTTAGTCTAGCAGCCTCAGCTGCCTAAAAACTGTTCTAAATCTGTTTTGATTTTCTTTCCAATGAGAAAAACCAGAAATATTTTAAATAAGCTCTGTAAATTCTGGTATGTACATATGTATTCACACATATTAAGCTATCACTATCTTCAATGCAGTGATAGGAAGAGTGGTCAAGAAATCACCTGCCTGTGATTTCTTAACTTCTTATCTGACATGTGACTGTTCCTAAAAAGCAGTATCCATACAGACTGCCATGGATGCATACATGGCTTGCATTTAGATAGGAGTTGGGACATCTGAATTCCTGCTTTACCGCAGACCAGGAGTGCACTTTTGGAGTGACTCTCCCACTCGCCCCCACTGACTGCACTCTGGCTAACATTACAGAACAGTCCTGGAGTGCACGAACCAGGTTCCTTCCTGGTGTCACAAACCTGGATTACGTGATCCGGGACAACAGGTAAGGCTCTGCAACTGCTCCTGGGCATTCAGGCCTTGAAGACCTAGTATAAATCAAGAGTTCAAAGAAATAACACCATTTTACATCACTGTGCAATGACTTTTAGAAAGGTAGAGTGTGAATCAATTGTACTCTGAAACACAGCAAGATTTCAAAAATAAATTAGTCGCTAGAGGGAGCCTCTTAATCATCATATCCTAGTATCAAACAGCTAACTTGGGCCGTCAACTCTTAGATGTTGAAGTACTTTAATATTAGAGTCAGTGAGTGCTACTCCCTCCAGTACTCAGTTTAAAGAAAATGAGGGAAAAGACAAGAGTGTGCAAGACTTCCACAAAATTCCACATTCAATCCATATTCTGCACACATACAGACTTTCTAAAGATTTCCCCAGAGAAAAACAGGTAGACTCAGTCAGTACAGTGGCTGGGGACAGAATTAGCTTTGCTTAGTCCTTTTAAAAATGCCATCTTTAAGTGGCACCCGTAAGAGGGCATTGACCTTTCCCTCCTTCAAAGATCAAACACCAAAATAAGCATTTCATGTCACAGTGAGAGAAAAGCCCTTAGACCACAAGCACTACCCTCTCTCCTTTATCTTCATTACACCACAGGTGTGCCCAGGCAGTAATTTCCAGCAGCCAGATTTCAACCAGTGATACTTAAAGCAGTGATCTGGTCTAGCTCTCTCTGTCAGAAGGCAGATACACATACTAAACAATTAAGTTGCGTTCCTGCAGCGTAACTGCAGACATGTATTCAATTTTCTGCTATACTCTAAATCTAGTAAATAACTTATCAGTTATAGTTTGTGATTCTCTGTTACAAATACTATAGAATTTGCAAGAAGTCCTGGAAAAACACAAGGAGAATAGGAGAGCTGTGGAGGAGACCCCAGCTGCAAGAGGGGCTCTCCTAGTCTGCAGGGACTGATTGCAAGCTGGACAGAAAAACCCAGCACCTCATAAAGTGCTTTCTTTTTAGAAAATATACAGCAGCAGAGGGCATCAGACAACAAGAAATTCTATATGTTAATAAATCCTGAAGCTCTAAGGCACCATGAAGGGGGATGGGAACTGGAAAGGTACAGATTGAGATGCTGTAACATGGGTAACATAAGGAAGCAGGCACTGAGAGAAGGAAAACCAGACACATCACTTCTCCTGTGTATGTTGGCTGTAACCACTCCAGCATGGAAATATTGGTGGGAGAGAGCAGGGGAGGGATCACCGATAGTGCTGTAACTTGCCTCAGAGATGCTCCACTAGCAAACCAACCTGAGCACTGCAACTGGTGATGAACCACCAACTCATATCCACATTTTCCTTCTCTTTAAGATATGAAAATACTGGAAATTCTTTGTCAGTAAAGCAAGATTGCTGTTTGATAGTATCTCATGCTTTCCCAAAACAATCAGTACACAAAAAAAATCAAGAAAGCAAATATTAGCCTGCATGTAACCTTAATCTGTCCCTTTGAATGACAACTAGAAAATAGGCAACAGTCAAAAGTGAAGCCAAATAACTCATTTACTGAAAAAAAGAATTCAGGTCTGTTGCCAGCATTTCCCCCCCACACCCTAAAACTTTCTCACTGCATGTGTAGAGATGACCTTGACACTGCTGCAGGCACTTGGGGATGCCATAAATTGAAGATATTAATTCAATTTCTGTTTCTACAAAGAATTATGCTTCACAAGTACATCAATTTTCTATTTTCCTTGGTGGAAACAAGATATTTATGGGGAACTGTTATTTATAGTGCCTTTCATGGTAGTGTCTTAGACTCAAAGGACATCCTTCCCTCGAGAAGTTGGTGGTTGGGCAGAAAGCATTTTATCTGTGGTGTTCCCCAGCCCACCCCACATGTGTTGTATGAATGTCACTGTTGTGCAAACGGCAGTGGGACGTGCAGCTTAAGGGACTCCAGGATAAGTTAGACCATCCAGCTGCTTGCAAGATCTGGAATAACACAGCTTTCCTGTGGCGAAGTACGCATGAGCAGCTAGGGCAGATTTAAGGACTGCCTTCAGAAACAGATGTTAGACGCTCGGCTGTGGCAGCAGTTGCTGTGCTGCAAAATTTGGAAATAGTTTTAAGTCAACTGAAAATAAAATCACGCTCCGGTCTGTCAGCTGCATGCTTTGAGCATAACTTGACCAGGTACCGTATTCCTCCCTTACTATGTTGGGAAATGCACAGGAAAAACTTTAATGGGCATTTGGAAAATGTTTTTTGCTTCTGTAGATAAAAATATCTCGAGGAAGTTTTTCAAAGGCATTTCCCTTTACGACAACTTTATTCTCATACAAGCCTGTGTCTAAACTGAGAGCTGTAGACAAATTGTTATCATGAGTCTGGCTTTGATTTTATATATATATCAAGTCTACAGAATAGGAATGTTTAAAAGACATTTTGAAAGAATGAACAGTACTAAACTGAATGGAATTACTTGTAAGACCTTTCACTGAGTGTTGCTAAACTGATGCCATAAATGGTTACTGTTCTTATGAAAAGTGTATCTGAGTGCATCTAAAAATAAGAATATTTTCTCTTACGTAAACTGACTTGACTTGAGATTTCAGTGTCTCGTAAGAATATTAGTAGAAAAGTAAAAATGGATTAAAACTGTTCAATCAGTAAAGGAAAACAGTAAAATATTCAGGATGTTCATGCTGTATCCCCTGGATTATTAAAATGGATGAAGAAAGGGATAAAATCTAAATTACTTTGGGGAGATTAAATAATGGGAGAGGGAGGAAAGAGATTTGCTTTAAGCCAAATTCAATTCAGATAGCAAAGGGGACTGTTTGCTTGCAGTGTGGCTTAAGTGCCACTTTGGCAAAAGTGGTCCCAAAGAGGTCTTCAAAAAGGCATCCTCCAAACTGCTTGGCTGAACCAGGAAGATGCTTGCTGCTTCCCCAGCTGCCAGGGGCCAAGAAAGGAGCTGCATTTCCATGCGGGGACCCAGGGTCCCTCCCTGACTTCTCAGAAGAGGGGCAAACAGGACAAGCTGCTTTCACTGTCCCTCTTGTTCCAGCCAGAGCTGCTAAAGTTTCTCTTACTGGACTCTCCTCACCTTTCACTAAGGAAATGGCTTGACAGGGGTAATATTTGTCAGTGCAGTAACTGTTTTCTGTAGATTACCTGCTATTTTACAGGTCCCTTCTAGGAAAGGTCTTGAGCTTCAGGCTGTGCTTTGAATTGGTGTGTCTCTATTGCAAAGTACAGGCAGTTAGTGACAACCAATTACACCATTAAATTTTAACATTTTCAACTCCCTTTTATTTCAGCTGTTTTGGAGACACATAGTATGTACGTGTAAAAGATGGCTGAAGTGTCCTCCAGTATCTTTCCTATACGTATGTGGGATGCAAAGGCACAAATCCAAATGCAGAAAACTGTGTCTATAGCTAGTGATGCTGCATCAGCATTGGTGCTTGTAAAATAAGTGTTTAGAGCTGTTTGGATGCCAATTTTCTAAGCATAGAAATTTAAATTTTCTCATCAAGGCTTGTAGTGTTGATGAATAAAATGTAAGAACTATGGATATTACTCAGCTGCTAAATACTATCATTTCTGGAAAACAAAATATGAAAACAACGTAATTTATAAAATTAAGATGCTTGGTATAGTTCAACCATACATGGGATAAATTTGACAGAAGTTTATTTTAAAGCCTTTGAAACAAGGTCATTTGGCCCTTACCTCAAAGCCTTTAAACAGTTTGTCTTGTCCTCACAGTGAAAGAGAAAACCCCAGATGAACCTTTGCAGAAAGCTGTGCAGAGAAGGGGAGAAAGAGCATTACACTCCAGAATCTGACACATACAAAGAAGGAAAAGGCTCGGGACAGAGTCAGACGACAAGGGGTCACAAATTCAGTGTCTTCTAAGAAAATGTCGTTGTTGGAAGAGGACGAGTAGAATTTCTACAGCTAAAAATATCTTACAAGCCTGAAAGGAATCTTGGCACATTATATGAAGAAGCAGCAGGCTGCTACTGTCTCTGTGATTACAGAAAATGAATTACATTGAGGACAGGGTTTTCAAAAGCTCTTCTCTTCCTTTCTGAACAGTAACTATTTTTCATACAGCTGGGGCATGTAACAAAGGAGAATTATTTTCCTCTTTTAAGATAATCTTGACACAAAAAGAAAAATCCCTCTAAGAAATAAAGAAGCACTAGCAATAAAAATAACAATAATGCCTTTACTCTTCATTTAGTGTCTGATCTGAGGTGCACTGAAGAAAGTGCGACAGAGAATGCTGATAGGCTTTGATTAAGTTTTTTATCTATTTTTGCTGCAGTGAGTACTAGGAAGATGCAAACATGACAAGGTGCTCTCTCCTGGTTTTGCAGGATCTGAACACTCGAAATGCAGAAATTATTTGGCAACTAACATCTTATTGGTAAGAAAAAAGTTCATGAATTATTGTTATATCATACTTAAATCTAAAGTGAGCCAAGTTTAATAATGACATCTTATAAAAGTGTAGCGTTGTTTATCTATAAAGCATACTTACAATGTGCTTTTGTTTGTTTGTTTCTTTGTTTTCCTTTTTGTTTACTTTTTCATAACACAAAGGTTCCAGTCTGGGTGAGAAGGATGTCAGAGGAAGTTGACCCCATTCTCAGTTTCCCAGACCAACTTCTGAAAAACATCCCAAGCCGCTAAAGCATAATCACTTAAATGTCATCTGCCACATGTAAATTCCCAAGTAAGACTGTTCATAGGAAGTTTGGAAACAATCAGAAAAGGACATTTTTAAAGTTATAGTCGTGACATTTTCCTTTTCATGACATCTGTTCGGGTCAATGATTCAAATTTGACACACCTTCTACATCTGGGCAGACAGTGGTCTGGTCTGCAGCCAAGCACACACGGGAGAGAAGGTCTTCAGCTACTTGTAGTGGGAGTGATGAATGGCCAGGTCACTGGTTTCTTTCCTTCTTCCGTGTTTCAGGATTTCTCTGGTCACACCTCTGATTTTTGGTCTGCTTCTGCAGCCACCACTGACACAGCTTTCCATCGTCACACAGCCAAACATTGTCCTGTTGATGGCCGATGACCTTGGCATAGGGGACATAGGTTGCTACGGGAATGATACGATCAGGTAAGGAAACTGAACACAACAGTGAACAGAGATGGTGTGTTATTTAATGTGAGACTGCAATCCTCTGCCCATCGTCAGCTATTCGAGCTCTCTTCAAGTTCACTTCCCGGAGAACTGGGAAGATTTCCCATGCCGTTAATGGTAAATGTAAAGCACTACCAGGATTATCTCACAGCCTACAGGGCATTCCCAGGGCCAGCTCTTCTATCCTGAGCTGCATTACTGTGGGAATATGTCAACAGTTCTTGTCTATTCCTTAATTGCCTGACATTGAGAAACACTAAGCTCTTACACATACCTGAAGATATAAATGTTGTCCCATCTTTCAACATATCAGGCCATTACTTCATTTAACTCTGTTTTTCTATTCTCTCCCAGTCTCACATCAAAATATGGTATAAATCACTGCAGCAAGCTATGTTACTAGGAAATACTTCTCTTTCAGACCCAAGGACATAGAATTTGCCTTCTCTTTGAAAATCATGCCATGGTATTTCCTGCTGGCCTCCAGCTTGTCACTTCTTGAACAACCAAATTTGATACAATCACTGCCCTCATCCATCAAAGTCCTCATAATCTCACCCTGGCTGGCACTGGCCAGCAAGTTTCTGATAGGTAACAGTCATAGGTAGCTGAAGGGGCTCTGCATGGCTGGGCCTCCTCTTCAGCACAGCAGCATCCCCAAGGCATGAGTTTTCATTTCAAGAGCAGTGGCGTACACTTCTGCCAGGCCCTTCATAGGTATTGGGAAACAAAAAGTAACGATTGGCTTGACATTTATCCAGATAGAAATTGTTAATAAAGAAAGGTAAAAAAAAAGGGTATTTCCCCATTATTTAAAAAAAAAAAAAAAAAAAAAAAAAATTCCTGGTCATCTTGAAATAGAAGAAACTTCCCAAAATAAAGTATATTATTCCTCATCCCCCTTCTCTTGAAGACTCTCTGAATGATATCTGATAGCGTTGGTTGCATTTTTAGGACCCCAAACATTGATCGCCTAGCAAAGGAAGGAGTGAGACTGACCCAACACATCTCTGCAGCTCCACTTTGCACCCCCAGCAGAGCAGCCTTCCTCACTGGCAGATATCCCCTCCGATCAGGTTTGCCTTGCAAAACCAAGCATCCTTTAAACATTGTGTTATTCCTGAAGGGAACATCATCATACAATGGGCACAAAAGAAATGAGAGCAGGCAAAGAGAAGGGGTACCACAGACATGTCATCTCTCACTGAGGCACACAAAGACACATTAGCTAGGCCTATTACCTTTGAGGTGGCATCTGTATTTACGAGGTTCAATGAACCAACCTGGGGGGAAATGGAGCAGAGAACAAGCTCTGGAGAGCAGCTTGACCTTTGCCCAGCTCACAACTTCAGTTACCTTTTGGTGCTCTATTGCACAGACTGAAGCCAGAACTGAGGTAGTACAAATTGTTACATTCAAAAAATTCATTACACAGAACGTGAATAATAATAACAATATATTTCTAAAGCACTAGTTACATTAATTCCTGTCATGGGTGACTCCTCATCAGATATCAGAAACAGCTCAGCCCTGCAGGGAGCAGAGTAGATCTATGCAGATGTGTGTCCATTCCCTCTAGTGGAAGTGCAGAACAAGTCATTTAGGGGAAAGCTTTGTTACCTATTTGTCAGAATTCATCTGTCCTGTGAAGTAACAGCTTGACAGCTGTATTATTTTCCCAGTTCTGTTTCTGAAGAAAAAATACTATCCTGTCAAACTTCATCCCTGAGATGAAGAGGTATGAAAAACAAATAGCTCTACATCGTTCTAACAGGAACTCTCTAACGCTTGTTCTATTGCAAATGATCTTTAGTGCCTTCATTCCTGAGGCATTTTGAAGCTGACATGTCATCCTACTTTTATCATGACAGCTCCCACTGAGATAGATAGCTTGAAAATGCACATGAGCTTGTATAGACTCTCTTCCACTATAACAACACGGCCAGAGACATTCAACGTTACCATGACAGATTGTACTTCATAACACTGTGTGATGGGGTTATGCCAGTTTATAATGCTAAATAACAGGGTGTAAACCTGCAGGTAAGGAGAAGATTGTCGTGCTAGATAGCTACTCCATGAGTTTCAGAAGCCGGATACCAGCCATGCCACTGTGCAGGGAAATCTTGAGTTCCCAAGCAGCCTTATGCAAACTGGAGTTTGAGGCTGACAGAGGGCTAAAGTCTCCCTACGCTCCTCCATGCCCTCACAGTCACAGTAAGTGCACTTCATACAGCCTGGATACTACTGTGACATATAAAAGCTCCTATACAACTGTGCCATTCTGAATAAAATAAAATAAAATATTTCAGTATGAGATACAAAGAAGAAAAGTGATTATATAATGAAGAGACTTAAATCTTTTTTAATCTTGTCCAGAGTCCTAGATTCATTTCCCAAAAAAAAAAACAAAAAACAGCATTAGGATAAACTTTTAAGACTGTAATATCAATGAAACCAGAAAACAATAAAGTATGTATGATAAAAGTACTCTACTGCTTATAGTTACTAAGATTGTTTACTACTGTATTTTTTAGGAATGGATGCTATAAACAATTACCGTGTTATTTTTTGGAATGGCGGCTCAGGAGGGCTTCCTCCAAATGAAACCACTTTTGCCAAAATACTGCAGCAGCAAGGCTACAGCACAGGACTGATAGGTATGGCGGCACTCCTGAAGGTGGCCTAGAATGTGATTTGCCTGCACATCTCACTCAAACCTTTTGTTTTAGTTAACAAGTGCTCATACCTCAGTTGTAATATTTTTATTTTCTGATTTGAGAATACCTTGTAAGATGAAATCCTGACCAAAAAGAATCTCTCTTAAAAGAACAGGCATCTGATAAAGAGAACAATCTTTACTGTTGATCTGCTTTCAAGCACAGCTGTGGTTGTTAAAGAATATAATGGCAAATATGTTAATATTTCTTGAGTACTATTCTACCAGGTATATGATAATTATTCCAATGTTATTTCATAAAAAACAAAAGTATGAGTGCCATTTAAATATGCACAAAAATGTTTTACGCAGCTCAGAGCAGAGTCGCAACAAAAGGGACAGCTGCTATTTAAAACAATAGAGCCAGTTCATAATATCACAGGATTTGGCCTTTCAAAAACAGAAAAAAAGCAATTTTTTTCTATAATTACAGCGTGCCACTACAGTTCACCAAGATTTCAGTACAGCCCACAAAACGTTGCCTCCTTCAGCATTAATACAAATTCCCTTTTACTTCATATTTTATAAGATTTTTTTTTAATACAGTTGTAGCTTTTGGTCATGATCCAGTTTCAAATAATTATTTATCTTAGGTATGTCACATAGTTCCACAGACTGAAAAAACACAAACGTTCCTGAACTGAATTTTCAGCTATTGGCCCTACCTCATCTGAGCATCTAAATGTCAATATCAAAAATCTATGTCCGACACATAAAAATACTGGCTACACAAATAAACTGAAATATTAATAAAAGTGTCTGCTGAAATGGATTTTTATTCATTCGGCACAATAAATCTAAACCATACAGAACAATACTACCTTAAGCCCTCCAAACAGTAAGTTCTATATTACTCAATCTTCTACTGTTAGTTTTGTAGCCATATTTTAGTTGTTTTAATCAGCTCATTTAAAAGCCCATGTCTATTAGCCACGTGCTCCAGCTTGGTTTCAACATGTAATCACTTAAAAAAATAAAAAAAAAAAAAAAATTCAGATTTGTCTCCACTTTGCTAAAGGAATTGCCCTGCAGGGAGGCTGTGCTGCATACCTCCCAGAAGCTAGCTCTCAAAATGAGCTGGCATTTTCCCTGCGGGCATCTCAGCTAAAATCACACTATAAACACTAAAAGCATCACTTAGTTTAACCAAATTGACAGATTCTGATTAATTGCACCATAGGAAATGATGGAAAGCACTAGTGATAAGTGACACAAAAAACCCCATAAGAGCACCTTTACATTCAAGACGTGAAGCAAGTAATCTTACACAACATCTATCCACATCACCACAGCTGAACAAGCACTAAATAGTCTTACCTGAATGGTTTGTGATTGTTTTGCTCTGAGCACAACCCGTTTAATTGCAAAGTGAAATCCTATTAATAACCTGCAGCTTTGATGTGATAATGAGACTTTTTGTTTGGAAACCCTTTGCAGATTCTTTGCAGTCAGAAAGCCAATGTTATATAACATATGCCCTCAAAGTTTAATTTATCTTAATTATACATTTAGTTTATCTTCGGAGATTTGAGTCTTTTGTAGCTTGTTAGAAGCATTTATCGACCTCAGCTGGAGATTTAGGTGTTGGAGTGCATCTGAAGTCCAAGGATACTTAAGCTTCACCTGTGTTTATGACCAATGTGTCTATGTATTGATTACAAACCTGTTTCGTTCTATAGCTGGCTCTAAATATGTCAAGAAGTAAATTGAGTAGAGATTTTAGCTGAAAGCAATTAATCAACCTAGAATAGAGCTTTCACGCTTTCTTTATATTTATACCCAAAAAGCAGCATTTTTTTTTCCTTTGAAGCAGTTTTTTCTGCTCCTGTTGTAATGCACAGTAAGTCTATTGAAACCTACTGAGGGTTGGCTGCTAGTATATGTGTTGGTAAAATATTGAGCCATTTGTTTAGGATAATATCCTTCTGTAAGTACCCAGTTCCTTACTCCACAATAAGAATTAGTTGCAAATTAGTTTTCAAGTAAAATTCTAAAAGTTCAGGTTTATCTATAATTCTTGTATCCAAGGCCTGCATTGCATCGAAGATCACACAATGCAACTAAACTGCATCTCTCCCATGAGAGGTAGATTCTGGTTGCTTGGTTCAGATATTCACAAGCCTCAGTGTTTAAGCCAAATGCGCCAACTTTTTACATCTCCATGTAAGTGCCTAATCAGTCTGTTTGAATAGACTGGACTATTCAGGAGGAGAAGCAAAAGCATGGGTTTGATGTGCCATTCATCATAATAGTGAACATATGTCCATAATGAAGAACAAGTTTTATCACAAAAGATCAGAAGATGTTCTTTTGATACACGAAGACTCCAGAATTTAGAAGGCGGCGGCTTTGACTTTTTAAACTTGATGAAATACAAATAAATGGCAAAAATACTTATAAAACAAGGCCTTTTATTCTCACTCAGTATACAGAGATACTATTATCAGCAAAGTTAGTTACATATATACAGCTTCATGAGAAATCCTGAGCATAAGCTCTTCTGGGTCTGGTGTTTTGCCTGTCAAACCCATTGCTGAGCTGCAATCTCAGCTATGCTATCCATAGCTTCCTTTATCAGTCTGGCTCCAACATTTCCCTGAGTGTTGCCATAGTCCTGACATCAAGCCTTACAAATTTTTCCAGAAACAAGTCTGCATAGCACCTTGAAGGTAAAGAGACAACAGGACAACAGAACAATGTTATTTTGCCTTGTGATTACAAAAGGACTTCTTTCTACTATTTCATACTTGAAAGGTCTGCAGAAAGGCCACGCATTTTTGGTCATTTCTGAAAAATTGAATTTTTCTCAGTTTCTAGTTCCCTTCATAGTCCAGTATTTTATATCTGACCAAAGCTACAGGCCTTGAATATGTATACAGAGAACCAATAACTGTTGCAAATTTATAATCTGTAGAGGTTTAATTTCATCAGTTGTAACATATATCCCATTATATCAGTGCATACTTGGTATGTATGTGTAGGATGAAGAAGTTATCACAAGTAGGAAAAAATCAACTGTTTTATGAGAAATATTTTGTATGAGGAAAAGCCCATTTTGAAATATTAACTCTTTACATTTTAATAATCTGTATTTTCAGGAAAGTGGCATCTAGGTGTTAACTGTGAATCCCGCAATGACCATTGCCATCACCCTTTAAACCATGGGTTTGACTATTTTTATGGGATGCCTTTTACGTTAATAAGTGACTGCCAACCAACAGAAACACCAGAGATGGACAGAGCCTTTAGAAGGAAACTCTGGCTCTCCACTCAGATGATTGGTCTCGTTACCCTCACTGCTGCCCTGGGAAGACTGACCGGCTTGATTTCAGTCAGATGGAAAACACTGGCCTGCCTTGCTGGGTTTAGTTTCCTGTTCTTTGTATCCTGGTTCTCAAGTTATGGGTTTGTACGATACTGGAACTGCATTATGATGAGAAACCATGAAGTTACTGAGCAGCCGATGGTGACAGACAGGGCTACGTCCTTTATCTTGAGAGAGTCCATTTCCTTTATCGAAAGGTAAAGTGTGTTTCCTTTGATCACGTTTTTTTTTGGTTCTTGCATGTCATGCTTTTAAATAGCACTTTCCCACATGAATTTTTAAATATTTTTTATAAAATTATATAGGATTATAAGTACTATTATGTCCATTAATTATTAATAATATTATCATATTAGCTGTGGCTTAAGAGTATTCCTAGCTTCACTAAAGCTTGTATTGTTTCCACATTTCCATGGGTTGGATTGAATATTTCTAGGCTATTTTGAGGAAATACATATTTCTATCAATGAGATCAATATTACAGCGTTAAGGGATAGCAGCTGATGGCAGAAATGTGTGGGGGCTGGGGAAGGAGAAGTAGAGCTGTGAGGAGAGCCTTACCTATGTACTGACACATGGGCAACAGCTGGCAGGAGATGAGCCTTCTGCCTTTGTTTCAGTAGCACAGTGGTAGTTAGCAATAGCAGAAAGTGCAGCTTCAGCCCGGAACTTTTCTATGTATGATTCAGGAAATAAAAAGGGTTATTTTATATAAGGCAAACATTATATCATCAAACAGATCCTAATCACTGGGTTTTAATACTTTACAATGTAAGATGTTTCTGAAGTGATTGCTGAAATATGTATATATGCAAACTATACCATTTTTCATTATGACTGGCCTCTGTATGTGTTGAGTACCTTCCTCTCTAATAATAAAGTGTTGATTTCTGTTTTTTAGAAATAAGCAAAAACCATTCCTCCTCTTTCTTTCCTTTTTACACTCCCACACTCCTCTCATCACCACAGAGAAGTTTGTCGGGAGGAGCCGTCATGGTTTATATGGAGACAATGTGGAAGAGATGGACTGGATGGTGGGTAAGTCACCATAGCAAATAACAATGTCTCCTAGCTAATACCTACGTCTGAATATATAATAAAAATGCAGGTTTTATTAAAAGAACAAGGAAGAATTTTAAAAACAAGAAGGAAAAAAGTCCTAAGCTTTTCACGAAGATCTGTCAATCTTGTATGAGGACTGTTGGTTTATAGTGTTGCCTTTTTATTTTCTCCAGTCTTGGACTCAGATTCTTTGGTCTAGTGTTTACAAGTTTTAACCATGTCCCCTTGGCTCCTGTCAAGGAGCTCTCCTACTCTTCTTACTAAATAACTGAGAATTATTTAGTTTTCTGAGGTTATTAAAGATCAGGTAATTTCAGCCTCTTATGGTCATGTCTTATCTATTTCTAAGTAGGACACATCAGAAGGTGATAAAACTGATAAGCAAATTAATTCCAGGTGTAGATCAACAGGATATTTCTTTATGACTAGTACATTCAGCAGAGTACTGAATATTTTTCAGCCCCATTCATAAATCCAGAAATGTTCATAAATGTTAATTGGTATGCCCTCAGAAATTAGATTCATGTTATTTTTCAGCCTTATTTTTGAAGGGGAGGGACAATTATTTTTTCACCCAGTCATAGCAAGGAAAAAGTAGCCACATTTGCAAAAGAGATAAGAATCAGGTACATGTACAGAAAGAATTGTTCTTCAAACCTATCTGTCAAACACACAAACAGCTCAAGAATGACTTTTAAATAAAAAATAGCTACAATATTAATGCATATTATATTCAGCCAGTAATTTAATGCAAATATTAAGTGTGGTCTATACAATGTAAGATAAGAGTACATGACTTTTTTCCTCATTTCTCATGATGGCCAACACTGATGCAGAATTTAACTTCAGGGGGCCTTGGATCATGCTTTCTTTCCATATTTTTACAGCACACAGTACTGCCCTTTACAATACAGGCTTCTGGTCTGCGACTGTGGTTCTTGCATTCTTTGTTACAGTACCAATAATAAAGAGGTTACAGTCATTACAAATGTTCTGTGCTTTTACAGACAGTACAATCACAACTACAAATCTCAAACCTAAAAAACTGTTTTTAAAACAATGAGCAGCCCTACATAGATGACAAATTACATTGATGAATGTTTACAAGTCAGAGGCTAAAATTTACATAGTATAAGCAATAGTTTGGCTTTTTAATAAACATATACTCCTGTGTTTACAGGCCAGGTTCTAGATGTTATTGACAAGGAAGGCTTGAAAAATACTACACTAGTTTACTTTGCCTCTGATCATGGTGGATGGCTGGAAAGACAAGAAGGCAAAAGGCAGCTGGGTGGCTGGAATGGAATATACAGAGGTAAGAGCTGTCAGGGACGGTGACAACTCAGCAACAACTAGTAACGTTGTCAGGACACCCCGAAAGCTTAGATAAGATTGTACATTCAAGGAGTAACTGTTTTATTATTGAGAAGAAACTTCATATCATTCTAATTAAGCATTTAAAAATGTAGACAATTCTAGCCTGTGCAGGTGTTCTTTATAAACATAAATTCTCAAACTGGCATTTCCTCATGAAAAACTGATCACACGTTAATTTTTATTAAGACTGTGTAACTTCTCACTAAATATTAGTTGCATCTTACATCAGAACCCTTGCTTTAACTACAACAGGTATATAATAGGATTGTAAAAGAAAGAGGAGAACTAGGCTGGGAAATCACTTTATTCCTGAAAATTTTACCCACACTGAGTTCTGATGGGGCAATGTGTTTGTAAAACAACAGAAGGGAGTAAGTGTGTAAGGTCACTTGAGGGGTCTGATATAGTGAACACACTTTCACTGATGCTGAGGAGAAGGAGCTTAGTGGTAAAAACAAAAGGGTAAGGAAGGCTCATAAAGGTAACATTAGTTTATAATAATACAATAGCATTTATCTAAAATTTCTCTTTATTTTAAATTACTTTTTTTTTTTTTTTTAATATAAGGTGGAAAAGCTATGGGAGGCTGGGAAGGAGGAATCCGTGTCCCAGGGATATTTAGATGGCCAGGAGTATTACCTGCAGGCACAGTTATCGATGAACCTACAAGCCTTATGGACATTTTTCCTACAGTAGTTCATCTGGCTGGAGGGCTACTACCTCAGGACAGGTACAAAGACAAGTGTCTTTATTCCTCATTCTCTCACAAAACAATGGAAAATCTAGTTTGGAAACTCATTCTAAGAGTCTGGCATTTTCTTTTTCACTCCTGCTCCTTTTCTAGACACATAAATGTTACCACAGCTGTGTCACCTCTTCTCTACATTTGAGATTCACCATCTACCTACAATCTTTTACAAGCATCTTCCTTGTTCAGAGCTGACAGTTCCAGAAAGAGATGTGCAGAAGGAACTCAGTCCTGTACAACTTACCCCAGCCTGACGGTCTCCATCTTTTCTGCTAGGATAATTGATGGCCGAGATCTGATGCCTTTACTTCAAGGAACAGTTGATCACTCAGAGCACAAGTTCCTGTTCCATTACTGTGGCATTCACTTACATGCTGTGAGGTGGCACCAGAAGGACAGTGAGTACAGAACTTCTTTCCCAAGAATAAGGTTCAATCTATGGGAGGGCACATTTGTCTAACACCTTTTTTCTAGGACTGCAGCTTTCCAAGTAGTTCCAGGGGTAAGATGGTACAGAACTTACTACAATTGCTTGTATTGCCTAGCACAAAGAATTTGTTCGTGGTTTCAAGGCACGTGGCATGCCAAGCAGGCTACTGGAGTTCAGGATGGGTCTCACCCACCTCTCCATCTGAATGCAAGGCCTGGGGAGTCCATGCCCTCCTTGTCTGCTGAAGCCCTTGCCTCAGCCCTTTGTCTGTCCTTCTGCTACCCTAACAAGGAAGCAAGGCATGGAAACCCCAAATCTTTTTTTTCATGTCTTCATAAAAAACAAAGTGAGAGATAGCTGATACTTGCTAAAAATTTTGGAAATATTTCAAAACATCAGAAATCATTTTACATTATTGGTTTAATTCTGTGGCACTTCATTTTCAATGAAATTACAATAATCTCAACTAATAAGTGTAGAGCTGAAATGCAACCAGAAATGAACTCAAGAAAAGCATTCACCCTTCTAATGCCTTGTGATAACCACCAGTATCACTGCAAGGTTTTTTTCTTTCCTGCCAGGTGGAGCCATCTGGAAGGCTCATTATGTGACCCCTGTCTTCCATCCACCTGGGGCTGGGGCTTGTTATGATAGAGGATTTTGCCCGTGTTTTGGGGAAGGCGTGACCCATCATGACCCTCCGTTGTTGTTTGATCTCTCGCGAGACCCTTCTGAAGCCAAACCTCTGTCGGCTGACACCGAGCCTCTCTTTGACATTGTAATAAGGAAGATTGGAAGAGCCATAGAAGAGCATCAGAGGACACTGACTCCTGTCCCAGAGCAGCTCTCTGTGTACAACATCATGTGGAAGCCGTGGCTGCAGCCATGCTGTGGGACATTCCCATTTTGTTGGTGTGATAAGGAAGGTGAAAATAAACTTGCCAACCTATAAAGGAAAGGATCAGTTTTTTCCTCAAAAGTGTTTTTAGATCATGAGTGTTTTCTTTGAGGGTGCTGATTGGTGGGTTGGTTGGTTGGTTGTTCTAATGGAGCCTTTATATGAGAGTTGTTCCAATGAACAGCACAGTATTTGGTAAAGGTGGCTTTAAGCTGGACACCCTCAGGAGGGATCAAGACAGAATGATCCGAAGAGCATGTTTTAACTTGCATGTGCTGACAACTGAATGAATAGTTCAAATGCACTGAAGCAGGCCAAGATTAGAGCTGTACAAGTGATGATATAACTTATGTTTTGTTGTTTATGAATGTATATTTAGAAGGTTTGCTTTGATTTTTGTTCTGAATTTCTAAGTGATTCCTGGACTGATCTCCCTTAATTTTGTTATCCTTACTGGTGATGCATAAGATGCCCCTATAATAAATTCTTGCAGACTACTGCTTCCAAAATAATTCAAAAATCATTTTGCCCACAGATCCACAAAGAACCTCCTTTAAAAGTAGCTTCCTTCTTTCCTTGTATCTAGTCCCTCCAGCAGCAGTGATGATGGCAGCTTATTAGATCAGGGATTCTGGATCAGGAGAAATTGCCAGGGCTCGGCATAAAGCTTGGAAACATGACAAACTCGGTAATGGCTGTTTGTGCTTTCTGAGGAGGACAGGACTCCTCTGATTGGAGTCAGCCTTTTTTGATGGAAAGAACACAAGAGAGAAAGGATGTTCCCTTTCCAAAGCTCACATTGCACTCAGCTCCCTCAGCAGCACTAGCAAGGGCAGAGTGACACTGATGGCCACGGAAGTGCCACGCTGATAACCAATTCAGTCATTTGGGCACAGGATGGCTCAAGTCATCTTGCTGCCTGAACCATAACAGGTTCCTGCTAACAAGTACTAGGTTCAGAAGAGACTCTTTGATAGATGCTCAATACTAATTATGAAAACAAACTCTAATTTACAATTAAAAAAAGAAATGTAGAATTGAGGTATTTCTTGCTTCACGAGTTACATAGTCATCCCACCAAACAGCTAGAGTTACTTTCATCTATCTCTTTGCTGGTGTTCTTTCCTTTGCTTCAGTTCTTTCCTTCTTTGTGTTAAAATAGTTTTTCCTGTTAAAGTGGCCTTGCAGATAATGCTTTTTATTGTTGTATATAAAATCTATCTGTTCATATAGACAAGTTTACGCTAGTATATCTGAATATGTAGGCATCAGAGCATAATTTGCCCATTTGTTTTATTTCACCTTTTTTACTATTTTTCTAACTATTGTGCTCGGACCCATTTCTCTTGTTCATCTCCTCTGATAGATGTTTGGCTTATTTGGGTTTTATTTCCTTCCTTGTTTCCCACAATTCAGCCACCAGGAAATCTCCAGGTAAACAAAGCCCTACAGCTTAAAAGCAAAGTTTTATTTTATGTTGTGACTTTATGTATTTCACAGACTGTTATAATTCACCCAGATACTCCATCAGTGCTATTGATGAGAAAGGCACTCAGTCTTACTGTGAAAACTTCAAGAGATTAAGTGACTCCGTCACCTCACATGTACTGGATTGTTGCTCAGTTTCCTCCATTGTTAGGAGTGTGTGTTTCATTTCTCATTTGTATGTATTCTATTTCACTGGTTCTTTCTCAGCTAGATTTAAAGGCCTTTTCATATTCAGTATGCAGTGTTTTCTTTATCTGAAATTACTGTAATCACTCTGACATTTTTCAATTTTCTCAGTCATTTTCCAAGATCTCACTTCCATTCTCAAGTCGGTTTAGTATCCGGGATTTTACATCCTCTCAATTTTTCAACACCTTTAAAAATATGTGGCTATAATACCTGTTCATATGATTGAATGAGTTTTTCTTTAACAGAAATACTCCACAGCACTGTAGGATATATCCATTTGAAGAGAGAGGGTGCAGGAAGACACCTGAGATAGAATTTGTCCCAGGCACTGGTGTTTGCCCATGACAGCACAGTCATCAGGCCCTGCTGATATGCAAAGTGCCATGGGACCAGCAAATATTCAGGGCTTGGGAACACAGATATTACATGTGGAACGATCATGAGCAATAATAAAGGCTGTCTTGACAAACCTATACTGTTCTTTTTCTTTTTGGGTGATAATAGTATTCTGCTTTCTTGCACAGCCGCAGCAGAAAAACAAAATTTTAAATTAATTTAATTTCCTTTTTCTTTGGGAATTCTAACCTTACATTCATCTATGTTACTTAATGCTATGAGTACAGCCACCTCCTCCAGCCACCCTGGCCCAAGACCCTCCTGGAGCCCAGTCTGGTGCCTGGGGGCCCAGTGTCTCTGCCCAGGCTGGGGGACACAGCTGCTGCTTCTCCCTTTGCAGGTTCAACCAGTGATGGAGCTGAGTGCGTATCCCAGAGACACACACACAGACACACAGGTGACACTGGCTCAGCCAGTCACTGTCTCCATGTGTTGTGTTGACATGTTTTGTGTAGTCTAAGGAACAAGGCTTACAAGCAGTTTTGATAGACTCAAAATGGTATTTTTTAGATAAAAATAAAGTAGTTCATCAAAATAGTCTCCTTGACGGTAAGTATAATGAACACCTACAAATATTTGTCACTGATAGGAGTCCTTCAGGCTGTTTTCCAGTTGAACATGTGTATGATTAAGGCAGATATTTCTTTATAGTCTTATTCACTCACAAAGAAGGTACTATCTCCTGTACATCCCATAAATCCCACAGGAACCAGTTTCTCTTTTTGCTCTTCTTAACCTCTTCTCACCATCAATTTGTTTGAAAGTCTTTTTGTTTTTTCAGAGTAATTTTTCATCTTCAGGCTATTCCCCCTATTCCATTTATCATATTGCCATTGTGGCAGTGAGAGTTGCAGTTTCTCGCAGCTGGGCTACCAGCTTTTCCCCATGTCGAGAAAACATCCAGGTTTGTTTTACAAACTGAAAGATCTAACAGTTAACATTTGCTAACATATTGCAACCGGTGCTTTGAGCTTTTTTTTTTTTTTTTTTCCCCCATTGTTTATCATTTTCAGCTTTCTGGAAGCTCATTTAAATTAGTGAAAACTGGCAATCTCAGGAGAATTTAGACTAGGATTTTTACACATTGTTGATTTATTTATTGTTGTCACACCTGACAGGAAGTTGCAAAAATGAACAAGGCTATTCCTCATTGCTTTGCAGGATCCTGAGATTTAAAACTCCAAAAGTACATAGCAAATAAAATGTTGTGTATAAGAAAAGTCTCCTAGGAAAAAAATAAAATTCAATCATATTTGGAAGTAGTCTGCTATTAGTTATAGTAACATACTAGTATGATAGAAGTAGTCATTTTATGTATCTCATAAATCATTACGTTAAGTTACTAATACAAATACATCACATATTATGTAAACACTTTAAAACATTGGGTGAATATAAGATCTATAAAACATGAAAGCAATGTGTCTTAGGAAGTGGATTTTGCTTCCCTTTCTTAGTCTTTTTGTATCACCAGCAGCATAAACTGATGTGAGGAGAACTGAAAGAGAACTTTCTAAGTATCAGTTATAACTCTTCAGCCTAATAGTTAAAAAAAGTCAAAGCCAAAGCATAAAAATAAAGTACTTTCATATTGTTACATGACAAGTGTCATGCTTGAGTAAAAGTAGATCTAAGAAGCTTGAAGGGAGTTAGAAAAAGGCTGAAGGCGGTAGGGTTGTAGTTTTCTCTGGGTGACAGCAGTTTGGAGTTAGTAATCTAAGAAATTTTGTGCACTCTATTAAATGGAGAACATCAGGGGAATAGTTTGGTTGTAACAGAGTGTCACATCAGGTTCTCAACTCACCCCCCAGGTAAAATTTAGTGCAGAGGAACACTGAGTTTTCTCTTCTCCGTGCAGACAGATCTCCTGACTTCAGCAGAGAAGATAGGAAGGACAAACCAAAGGCCTCCCCCAGGTATCCCTTCCTTGGTGGCATTTCAGGTAGGGAACTTAAAGATCATCTAGTTCCAACCCCCTGCCATGGGCAGGGACACCTTCCTCTAGATCAGGTTGCTCAAAGTCCGGTCCAACCTGACCTTGAACACTGCCATGGAGGGGGCAGACACAGCTTCTCTGGACAATCTGTTCCAGTGTCTTATCAGTTACCAACTGATTTTCTTGGCCAAGTAGTATGAACTCCTTTATTGCTATCCTATTAGAAATAGAATAAGAATTTCTTGTTGCCTTAGAAAGACCGACAATGCTTAACCTCAGGTGGGGTGTTAGAGCTCTTGTCTGGGAGCTAACAAGGTAGCAGAAAGTAATCCAGGTAATAAATAAATAAACAATCCAGGTAGTAAAAAATAAAGAGAGAGAGAGTCTAAAAGCACAAATGCTCTGTTCACTCCTCCATAAATCAAGCTTAACAGACTTTTCATATATGTAACATCAATCATATGATTTCTGCTAGCCTCAAGAGTTTATAGGTTGGGTCCTCACGTATACGACACTTTGCTTCCTTGAGTCAAACCATCCATCATGACATAACAGGGGAAGACAGGGCATCATATGTCTTGTATAAACTAACAGATTTTCATTAGGTAGAAACACTACCAGTGAATACTCCTGCTCCCAAGCTCTATGCTGCTCAAGATTACATTCATTCTTAGTAACACTCAATTTTGCTATTAACAACCCTGGATTTGCTATTAATAACCCAAGTCCTCAGAGCAAAGACCCTTTGAAGCTTTGTGAAGTGTATTAACAACAACGGTGGCAGAATAAAATAATCACATGAAAAGAAGGAGGAAAAAAACCATTTATTTGACTCTAGGTGAAACACAGTGGGACTGGTAGAAGGTTAACTAAGCAGCCTCCAAGGACAGAGAATGCCTGTAAGTGAGATTTTGCTGCATGATATGAGTGTTGCTCTAGCCTCTAGACTGTGTAACTCCCAGCATTAGTCTATTTATGATAGTTTGGATAAACAGATTGTGAGAAGCTTTCTTCAGCCTAATAAAAGCAGTTCATCGAAAGCTCTGCAGTGCTGCACATTCCTGCACTGACGGGCACACTACTCTGAGAGACTTGCACCTATCGAGATGGCAATTTTTTCCCCATTGCAATAAATGTGCATTCCACTTCCATATCTGCAAGCCAGCAGAGAAGTCATGTGTCTTCAGTCTGGTCTGTGTTGCCTTTCCTTTCCTCATTTTTTTTGCTTTGAAACTTCATGAAACAGGCCAGGCCCTGCATCTGACTAGTTTTCAAGGAGTCACCAGTAAGTCACTGAAGCTCCTGCTCTTGTTCTAGCTCTAGGAAGTTTCCCATGTCCCTTGTGATGGGCTCCTGCTCTCTCTCTGCAGGAGACCCAGTGGTGAATCATGAAGGAAGAGAGGATTAATTGTTGTCTTGCTGGCACACTCAGTCACAGCAAGTGAGCGCCAGATAGCCTACATGTTGAAAACAGTGGCAGTCTCTGTTGATGTGCAGGCTTCAAAAATGCAAACAAATTAAAAGACTGAAGTGTGAATAAACAGGGATATTATTTCCTGTAACAGATTTCTCCCATTCAGAAACATGAAATCACCTAGCTCTACAGGTAACCAAATACACAAAGACTTGCATTCATTCCCTTCAGGCAGAATTACGGCAGGACAGCTGTCTTACATGACCATTTTTATCAGTTGTGTATCAAATTTTGTTCATCCCATAAAAGAGCCATCAGTTTGAAAACTATACTACTTTCTGCAGTTTCTTCTTTCAAGAAAAGCTATCCCGTCAAACTGAAATCCTCGGAAAGCTCAGAAAAACAGGTAACTGTATATGGCACTGTAAGAAGCTCCCCAGTGCCTGGTATTGCAATGCTTTCAGCATGTACCTTCTTGAAGAAGGGAAACAGATACTTCCCTCCACTCCCATGCTGAGAGCTCCCACTGACATCTCCTGAAGATGACAGGGAGAGCCCGGCAGCCAGCCAGTGTCTTCTGTAACCAGACCTCTTGGGTGCTCTTTAAAATACCTGATTTAATAATATCTCACTGCTGTTGAAAGACTCATCTCATCTAGTATTCTTGTGTAAACACATATGCATAAATTCTTTTGAAAATATACCTTCAGGTTAGATACACAGAATAAAATCTATGTAACTGGATCAAATTACACCAAGAGTAGATTCAGCCCTTCAGGAAGAGAAATACCACTGGAAGGATCTTCAGAAGTTATAGGACTTTAGATCATACAACAGCAGGATTTGGAAACATCCTAACTGTCAAATACTAAACAGCTTTCCCACATTTCTTTTTTTCCACCTGACTGATGCACTACTATTGCAGTGAAAACCATTGCTGGATTTCAAGATCATCTGACAAACCCCCTAAAATCTAAATTTGGATACTGAAACTGTTTTCAAACACAGTAGCAAGCAATATCTGAGCACAAAAATTAAGCTGTTGAAAACCTAATGATCTCTTTTCATTTAAAAATTAGTCATATTTGTCTGTTTTACTGAAAAGAAGATCTCTGAAGATTAAAGAAAATAATTATTACCTTTTAAAAAAAAATGTGTTTTTTTTTCCTTTGGAAAAATAGGACTATTTTTAAGCTGGTTTTGAACTCTTCTGAACACACAATGCTTAAGTGCTTCAGCTTGTCTTCAGCACATAATCACCAACAAGATCACATAGCTTTCAAACTAACTGTTCTTCTGTGGAGACCATGATGCAGCATTCTGAAAATCTAGCTGGCCCCATAGATTAACAGTTTTGTCCCTGAATATACAAGTTGGAGTCTGTGATGTCTACACTTGAACACTATCTCAAGCAAGACTGATGGTTTCTGTCAAGTATCATCTCAGGGGCAAAGCAAAGCAAATTATCAGCAATCAATGGCAGTACCTGGAAACATCAAAATCAGGATTATAAGTAAAAAAGCTCACACAGCATCTGTCGTGAAACTGGAATGGACACAATGTTGCCTCATAATTTCTATTAAGTGTCACATCATAACATAGTACTTTAAGCATTTTTATCTTCTCTAAAAATATTAATTTAAAAAATCATATATTACGAGTAATATGATATAAAGAGAAAATACTTACTGTCCTGCTTTTCAGGATACAATTTCAG